GTAGTTTAGGATCTATTTGTCCTTTTGCAGCATCTGTAGTTCAGCAACAACAAGAAACTGGTCTTTGGTGACCAAAAGTTATAATTCGGCATTAAACCTTTTCCAAAAGAAAAAATGTGTCTCTTGCTCATAACCAAATTTTCAGTACATATATGTAATCAGTGTATACAGAAGTGCAAATGCAATCTCTATGGGGTAATTTCACCTTTTAGTTCATACGGCCACTCTCAATACATGTATCTAAATAAGGAAAAAAGTGAGAAAAGAAACACAAGGGCACTTATAGTGTAGTATTTAACGTAGACAATTATTTATAACCATAGCATAAGATAGACTCTCTCAAGAAAATTGCACAAAATAAATTGTGTGAAAGTGATTTGCCAAATAAGGGCCACTTAACCCCCTCTCTATAAGTACCAAACATACAGGCTACTTGAGTTATTCCGGCTAACAAAAAAACCCTTCTGTTTAATCTATTTCCCATTGGTTAAGTGGTACTCTGCTTACATAGAACTGGAAGCTTTCTGGACTCTGAAGAAGGGGATTATTTGTAGGCAAATGCCCCTTATTGGGACAAGCATTTTTAGCACAATTTATGTTGTGCAACATTCTTGTGAGTGCCTGTCTTATGTTTTGTTTTGAATTGATTGTTTATATTAAATACTACACTATAAGTGTCCTTGTTTTTCCTCTCTCATTTTCTTTATTTATATACATGCATTGAAAGTGGTCATATGTTATTTTTTTCTTTTTGATACTTGGCACTATAGGCCTACATACACAATCTACCTAAGCAATCTGCTTAAAGCCCCCTTAGGGGACATAAGCCATTGAGTTACCTGTGCTTCCAGCATTCTTCCATCATGCTACCAATATTGCTTTGCTTCATCTTTAGTCACAGTCATGTCGACTCACACACGCTGTTCTGGAGTCATCCCATGTTAATCTTGTTATATTATAAATGGCGCACAATAAAGCTAATACCCACATTATATTGCATGATATCGCACTTGAGAATTGAATTTGGGGTAACTCTATCTTGTATGTCAAATCGTATGCACTGCAAAAATATAACATTTAAAAAAAAGTGTTTCCTCTATTGTTGTGTACACCATGTTTTTTGTGATTAGCTCAAAATCAGGCTGACATTCCTAATTCTTAACTATGTACAAACATAAAAAAGTAGGAAGTCTACAGGTCTATTTGCTGAACAGTAGATTGAGGTGAATTGAGAATTAATCAATATATAAATAAGAATTATATAGTAAGAAAAAATCTATGGCTAGAGATATGCAAATTATTACTGCAAGTAACTTGCAGAGAAATGGTGATTGGATGACTCAAGACAAGGTGCTACAGCAACTAAAGAAAGTTAATATAAACAAAGCTCTGGGGCCTGGCGGTATTCATCTATGAGTACTTAAGGAGCTAAGTGTGGAAATCAATTAACTCTGTTTTAAATCTTTCAAGATTCTTTTCTTTCAGGAATTTTACCAAAGAACTGGAGGAAGAGAGATGTGGTTCCTATATTCAAAAAGAGTCCCTGGAAATTACAGACATGTGAGCCTATTTTCTGTGGCTGGGGAAGTATTTGAAAGGGTATTAATATTCAGGAATTTATTAAGAAGAACATTGTTATTAGCAACAATCAGCATGGTTTATGAAACATACATCATGTCAAACTAATAAGAAGAAAGTAGAAGTAAAGATGATGCAGTGGATGTGATCGACTTTTTTTTGCCAATGTGTTTGATACGGTTCCACACATTAGGTTAGTGTTAAAAATAAATGAAATTGGTGTAGATGAAAATTGTTGTTCTTGGGTAAATAAACAAAGTACAGAGAGTTGTCATTAATGCTAATGTTTTAAGCTGGACAAAAGTGGTGTCCCTCAGGGTTCTGTTCTGGTACTGCTTCTATTTAACATCCCTATAAATTATCTTGAAATAGGCATTGAAAGTCATGTTTCAGTGTTTGCAGATGGCACAAAACTCTGTAAAGAAATGCAATGTGAGCAAGATATTACTGTGCTGCAAAGGGATTTAGATAGATTTGTGGACTGGGCACTCAAATGGCAGATTAAATGTAATGTAGAAAAATACAAAAGTTATGCAATTTTGGGGTAAAGAATGCAAAAACAACATACACCCTAAATGGTACAGAATTAGGAATAACAACACACAAGATTGGGGAATGGTTATAGATAACAAACTAGGCAACAGTGTACAATGGCAAAGGCCAGTAAGGTATGGTAATGTATAAAAAGGGGCATTAATTCTTGGGATGAGAATATAATTTTGCCTCTTTATAAAATCATTGGTAAGACCACATCTTGAATATGCTGTACAATTTTGGGCAGCTGTTCTAAAGGACATTATGGCACTAGAAAAAGTGCAGAGACGAGCTACAAAATTAATAAAAGGAATCAAACATTTTAGCGATGAAGAAAGGTTAACACATTTAAACCTCTTTAGCTTAGAAAAGTGTCACCTCAGAGGGGATACGATAGCATTATACAAATATATTTGGGGACTAATACAAACCATTGTCTGAAGTCTGTTCATAAACAGGACCATTCATAGGACACAATGTCATGTGTTTAGACTGAAAGAAAAAAGATTTAGTCTAAGGAAAAGGAAAGTTTTTTTTTACAGTAATAACAATAATGATGTGGAATTCTCTGTCTGAAGAAGTGGTTTTATCAGTGTACAGATGTTTAAACAGCTACTGGATGCGTACTTCAAAAACATAATATTTAGGGATATCATTTTTAATTTGTGGGGTATTAGCTTCTTGATCCAAGTATTATTCTGGTCTGCCATTCTGGGGTCAAGAACTAATTTTTTCCTAGTTTATTGCAAAATTGTAAGTGCTTCGAACACAGCAAAAATATATTTGAGAAAGGCTAAACTTGATGGATGCATATCTCTTTTCAGCTTATGTAATGATGTAACTATGTAAGAAATAACATCTAAAATTTAGGACAAATAAAAGTGTGTAAAATTCTCAAATTACAGTATGTTGAATGTTTTTTTTTTTCACTTTGATATTTGAGCCCTGATTTTGCAAGTCAGTTGTAAACTTATCAGAACCTGGCTAGTTACTAAATTGAGAATTCAAAGTGTATTTTAAATATAAGGTCAAAGTACCTAAAACTGAAAAGTCTGCTATGATACCAGTTAGCTATTTTGGCCTTAAAGGGACAGTTTAGGCACCATAACAACTTAATCTAAATGTTGTTATGGTACCAGGAGGCCCCGGCGTGCACTTTTATTTACACAGGGTTAGATCCTCATGACACCTAGGCAGCATCCAGCTTCTTATGGCTTGGTTTCAGGAAACGCAGAGTTCTGCCAGGCAGGGACGCCTCTAACTGGCTGCAAGAGGTCATCTAACACTCTATAAAACTGGGTTAAAAAGGAAATGTACATAAGTGAATTCTCAATTTAAGGTCAAAACAGAATTTGAAAAATTCTCTAAGTCAACCATGCTTGCAATTCGACTAATCTGCCCTTAAATTTGACCAACCCTGTAAGTCAATAAATGTATCTGGTGAACTTATAATAAACTACTATATAAAACAACATGGCATACTGTCAGAGTTATTTACTAACCTGTGAACGAACAGGGATTCATTAGTGAATTCCAAATTTAAAGTCAAAATATAGTCTTCAAAATATATATGGGGAACCAACTGAATCTGCAATAAAATAGAACATGACATGGTGTAATACAGGAAATATACAACAAGCGCCTGATTTAGTTGAACTCACAGGATTGAGAGATTTTATCACATCAGGGGTTCCTTCTCTGAAACTTTGGGGGACTTAAATCCCCTCCAAACCCACCTTATATCTTGGAATAGTTTAAACACCAAAGGGTAGAAAGCATAAATGTGTCTTTATTTTAAAATTATAAAAACAATCAAAGATTTTTATAATTTTCAAATGAAGCCAAGCTTTTGCTTTCTACCCTTTTAGAGTACCTGGTTTTTACACTATTCTGTTACTGCAAAAGATAAGGAGCAATCAGAGGGGATATTAGCCTCCAAAATATTTTGGGGCAGCACCCTTAACGCGCTTAAATACCTCAATCCCGTGAGTTCAACTAAATTAGGCACTTGTTGTGTGTTGCCTGTATTAACACTATGTTACACTCTATTTTGTTAGTTTTGATATATTTTTTTTAATTTTTTATTTTTGCTGTGCAAGAAAAGATACACTTTAACCTGCAAAGCCACAACGGCGAGAGCAGGCAAGACAAGTTACATAACAAGACAATGCACAATTTTATAATATGAAGAGATCAAGCAAGGCAAATGTGTCTAAAACTCTGAATATATGCTGCAGTTAGGATATTGAAGACACGAATGGAGTTTTCTGAATAATAAATGCTTTGGAATATGCTAGGCAAATAGGGGGAGGTAGAGACTGCTGGAGCTGAACTAGCCACTGTGGTACTAAGTGGAAGGAGAGTGATGTGTAGGAGGACCGTTAGTAGAGACAGACTGGGTTCATGACATATCAAATAAAACGTGGTACTTATGCAGCAAATAGGTTAGTGCCCGGTTTATATTATGTCAGGCTAGGCCTCCATGTCTTAACTATTCTAGGGAGATATCGCTTAGCGAGGAAACAAGATTTTAGGCTAAAATAGGTCTTAGGAAAACAAAACAAGCGTAAGTATTATGTTTAGCTAATAGGAGGATGTTCTACCCAGCGCTAAATCTAGATTTAGGCATATAGCTAGGCTCTTAGCAAGTAAGCTAGCCGTACAACTTAAGAGTCTCAGTGCGTCCCTCCATACCACACCAGTAGCTGGTATGGTGTTAGCCCCCAGAGTGGCCTCGTCGGTGTTGCTCAGAGGTAATGTCCACAGGTCAATATTGTTTCTCCCAACCAGGGTCTGTGTACGATGGCCGCTGGACGAAGGGGGGCATGTTGTGTTTTGGTGGATTCACCGTTCCGTTCGGGTGTTTCTGCTGTGTCCCAGTTTCCCACCTTTCCGGCTCCGGGCCTTAGTGAGGGCCCTTGCCTTGTTTCCATGAAGCCTCCCAATCTCAGTGGTTGGCTCGGGGGCCCGCAGGTTCTCCCCATCCCGCGTGTCCCCACAGGTGTATGGACGGCATGGAGTAAACTCCTGGTGGGTCCCAGCCCAAAAGGGTGTTGGGCAGTCAGGACAGCAGCTTCGGGGGCCCTCTTGACAGGTGATGAAGGCTTGGTTTCAGACTTGGTTTCACAGGCTTCCCTCCGCTCTTGTGCTGGTAGGCCCAAGTTGCTCTGCTTTAGATGCGGCTTGGCGACCATCTTGGTAGCGCCGTGCTGGTTGCTCATGTGTCACTCGAGTATCTGTGGTGAGGCAAGCGGTTGTAGTCTGGCCTCCAGTTTGCGCCAGAAAGTGTTGAAGATTGCATCCAACCTCTGTAGGGCCCCATGCTGTGGGTCTGTAGGCTCAGGGAGATGCATGGCATCCATCATGCTGGGTGTCGCATTGTGTTGCATCCTTTTCAGTGCAGTCCCCCACTGCACCCTCTCTGGTCTAAGTTTGCCTCCCTGGTATGGACCGCGATCACCCCTGACGGTCGAGGGGGGGGATAACGGGGCTCCTGCTTTCGTTGTGTCGGCATCTCGTGGCGCCGGACTGGGAGATCAGCTGCCTCTCCTGCTCTATGAGCACTAGGCCTCATGTCACAAGTCGGTCGGCCAGCCGGCCTCAGATTGGTTGCAGACCTCAGTGTCGGTTTAGTGCCCCTTCGTGGGTCAGGTAAGTCTATTTGGGTTGCCAGTTTTGAGTTATTTAGGGCCAAAAATGACATAAATTGCCCTGTTGTCTGAGGAGCTCTGCAGTAGCACGTCTGTCTTCCATGCTGGTCAGGCTCCGTCCCCTTGTGTTACAAATTTTGTAGATTATGTTGGCATATAAGAGGGAGACCTACTGGGAGATTCCTTTGAGGAAGCTGCAATAGATTCCAACACCAGTTGAGTATTCCAATATATGGGTGGTGTATACTTGTGTATACATATCAAAGCAAAATAGCTTAGGTGAAAAGAGCAATTTGATTTCTTTAAAATATTGGCACAGAATTTGCAATTCAAATTATTTGATATTTCTGAAAAGTGTTAGGAATTAACCAGTGAATTTTAAGACAAAATAAACAAAATGGAAAATGTCTTAAACTCAGCTATTTTAAACAAATATATTTAAAATTCCTCCTTAAAAGGACACTATAGTCACTAGAACCACTATAGTTGAATGTAGTGGTTCTGGTATCTATAGCCTGTCCCTGCAGGCTCAGCAATGAAAACATTTGCTGCCCAATAACACTTCTGATGGCAGTCACTCAGATGGTCACTAGAGGCGCTTCCTAATTCAGTGCTGAACAGCGTGCAGCACCTACGCTCAGAATCTCCACGCTCTGCATGGAGACACTGAACATTCCCCATAGAAATGCATTGATTTGATGCATTTCCATGAAGAGATGTTAATTGTCTCAACGCAGTGTTTTGCCATGCATATGCAAAAGCCTATGAGAAAGCATTGGATTGGCTGAGATTATAAAGTTTGATGATCTTAGCCATGGAGGTGGGGCCAGCAATGGCAAGAATAATTATTCTGTGAAGTAGTTCCTCACTAAGCCGGAAATTGTCAGAATTTCAAAAATGTATTCCAGTGTAGTTGAAGTTGGGAAAAACAATCTTTCTCCTTTAGTAAATAGTCCTTATATTGTGAATTAAATCAGAATTTTTAAAATAGCAAAGCTGTAACTGTAGCATTAGAATAAAAAATTGTCAACAGATATTTAGGTCATGAGTTAATATTTTTAGATAAGATTTTCAAATGAACAATTCGTCTATAGTCAGAGCTTCAGTTTCAGTTGGAGCGCTTCTTCAAATCATTCAACCTCTGTAACTGTATAAAGCAGCCCAACCTGCACTGGGATTGTGTGCACATTTTTGTGTCATGTAGATACAAATTTCATTTTGTGAGGGAACTTTATTAAATAAAATACATAGACCGTGGAGAATGTTCAGCGCCTCCATGCAGAGTGTGGGGTCACTGAACGTATGTGCTGCATGTTGTGCAGCGCCGACATAGGAAGTACCTCTAGTGGCCGTCTGAATGAGTGTCACTGGAGATGTTACTAGGCAGCAAGGCAAACACTGTCTTTTCTCTGAAAAGGCACGGTTTACATTAACAAGCCTGCAGAGACATGTTATACACACCAGAACAACTACATTAAGCTGTATTGGTTCTGGTGAAAATAGTGTCCCTTTAAGGCCAAAATAGACAAATTGGAAATATTCTCCAGCTCCAGTTCTGCTACTTTGTGCTCAAATTTGAAATTCACTTTGAATTCTCACTTCTGCGAATAACCCTGATAGACAGGTAAATTCTCCAACTCAGGTACTTCTTCAGCGTGGCCATTTTGGAGTAATCATTCCAAAAACCTGGTCATTTCAAGCTCCATTCTTGGTTTCATAAATACATCTGAGCATTTGTAAAGGCTGCAAATCTCTAAATTTTAAGAACAACTGGACGTTCTCTAAAAGTTAAATATTCTAGTACCCTCACTCCACAATAAAAGCTACTAAACCAAATTATTAGACTGATAACTGCAGCAGAGATACGCATACAAGCGTAGCTGACATCATCAAACTATCATACACTAACAAGGGTATTTACTAAGTTAAAGGGACACTATAGTCACCAAAAAACTTTAGCGTAACTTAACTGTATCTCCTGCTCTGTAAATTGAACTTTAATCACATGCAAGAGGCTCCTGCAAGGTCTAGTAAGTTATTAACAGAGCAGGAGATAAGAAACTCTAAATTAAACCGACTATGCAATAAAGGAAGTTTCAATATTAGATCTCCCTTTACAGGAAGTGTTTAAGAAGGCTGTGCAAGTCACATGTAGAGAGGTGTGACTAGGGTTGAATACACAAAAGTGTTTTATCTCATAAATGGCAGAGAATTGAGCAGTGAGACTGCAGGGGCATGATCTATACTTAATTACTGCTTCATTACGCTAAAGTTGTTTTGTGACTATAGTGTTCCTTAAAGGGATTTCAAAGTTAAGACCAAAACAGCCGATTTTTCAGTTTTAAATGTGAAATTCTTTTTGAATACACTTTGATTTTTAGTAAAACCCTACAAGTGTAAATAGGCATGTGCCTTCATTGAGCCAATGCACAAGTGTCATGAATTTAAAGAAATATACATTGCAGACTAAAAGTGACAGCCAGCCATACAACGCAATTAAAAAATGTAAATTATTTTGTTTGTTTGTTTCTAAGAGCATAACCCATGGCTAAATTTATATTATCAATTACAGTGCAACAATTATACAAATGACAGTTCCACTTCAAGCCAATGTTGCATCAATATGCCTTCAATTCTACATTTCTCTTGGAGATTCGAAATTACATTTTCCTGAGTTTACTGGAACAGGTTCCTCAAAACAAAGCAGGACTGCTTTAATTCACTTTGAACTCAATAGTCCCATTTACACAGAGTTAATAAGAATATGCCTTGTTACTTGGAAGATCAATGAACTGAACTCCTTCCTGCTAACTGCAATCTCATTTCAGCAAGTGCTGAGGAATGGCAAATTTGACAAGGTTAGAGTTAACAGAATGGAGGGTGATATACTGCCCCAGGCACCTTTTTAAAAAACCAAATCCATTCCTTTTTTCATCATTGTCTACACCTATTACTTCTCACCATGACAGGCTCGGTGCTGAATGCCAGACACACATTAAGTTAATAGGATGCACACCATGCAGAAACAGTACAGGTTCCAGGCAGATTCACAGAACATCAAAGGCAGACAGATTCCACTGGAAATTCCAGCCACAGAGGAAGATGTTCAGAGCAGAATGCATCCTGCAAGGGACACTTCTCAGCATCCTCACAGCCAGCAGTTACTGTGACACAAGGAGCTATTTACTAAACAGTGCAATTAACTCATTTGATAGGAGACTCCTAAAGAGACATTATTTTGAATAAACATATTCCATTTATTTAACTGAATGGCTCCACAACTTTAATAGACGAATTAGCTTTTTAATGCAACTAGAACCCACTGTGCCAAATCACTGTGAGTCCCTCAGAGTCTTTACACACAGGGGTAAGTTCCAGGAGTGGCAGAAAAGTAGATTGGAAGATCTGTAACCCCCAACCTTTGGCTGACAAAGCATGATGGGAGATGTAGTGTTGAAACAGATGAAGTCGCCCTCAAAGGAAGAGAGTCCCAAATGGAAACAGTCCTGTGAGGAAATACGACCTACTGGAGCTTCACTGTCCACATAGTCTGACCTGAGGGATGTTGGGAGTTGAAGTCTCCAGATTGCCTTCTTATGGTCCTGTTGAGAGACACAGCCCGTATAGGAGGAGGGGGTGGACAGATACCCCGGGTACTTACTGCAGTGTGAGATCAGGATGTGCACAAAGTTGAAGAAGGTTTTTGAGGCGAAGTGTTGGTATCTTTTCCAGAGCTTATCTTATTGACCCAGAATTCCTCCCATCAGATACCTGACTCCGGGCTCACCAAAATCTCTCCCAGAACAGGATCCTGGCTGAGAAGGTTCACTGAGCATCCAGCTCCAAAATATGTCCAGTGTGTGCAGGTCCTGCTATTCTGTGTGTGTGTGTGCTATATACATTGTATCTTGTACTGTGTGTACTATATAATGTAACTTATACTGTGTATACTGTGAGTGTGCTATATACATTGTATCTTGTACTGTGTGTGCACTATATATTGTAACTTATACTGTGTATACTGTGAGTGTGCTATATACATTGTATCTTGTACTGTGTGTGCACTATATATTGTAACTTATACTGTGTATACTGTGAGTGTGCTATATACATTGTATCTTGTACTGTGTGTGCACTATATATTGTAACTTATACTGTGTATACTGTGAGTGTGCTATATACATTGTATCTTGTACTGTGTGTACTATATAATGTAACTTATACTGTGTATACTGTGAGTGTGCTATATACATTGTATCTTGTACTGTGTGTGCACTATATATTGTAACTTATACTGTGTATACTGTGTGTTTGTGTATAACTGTGTATACTGTGTGTGTACTATATATTGTAACTTATACTGTGTGTGTGTGTGTAACTGTGTATACTGTGTGTACTATATATTGTATCTTACACTGTGTGTACTATATATTGTATTCTATACTGTGTGTACTATATATTGTATTTTATACCGTGTATACTGTGTGTGTGCTATATACATTGTATCTTGTACTG